TAATCATTGGCTGTCGCGGGCCAGATTGATGACAGTAAATCATTGGCTGTCGCGGGCCGGATTGATGACACTGGCGGGCCGGATTTGGCCCGCGGGCAGTAGTTTGGAGACCCCTGATCTAGAGTCTAGACAATCTAGTAACCTCAGGGAGCTCTATACTTTTTGACTGATACTAGTGTTCCAAGTCTGTGAGAATCTGTCTGTATTATCCAACCTCGTGGTTTCACCAAGTCATATTGGTATTCAATATGATACTCATCATTTCTTGATGGAGAAAATGAGTTTTCAATAATTAATCTGCCTGTCTGTTGTGTGTTCAAAAAATATGTATTTATCCAATTTCTATTTTGTCTCCTTCAAAGTAGTCCCTCTCAGATATAATACAGCGTTTTTTCCAATCTTCGAAGCAGTTCTATATGCACTTGAACTCTCAGCGATTAGGTTTTTATCTCCTCAATCGTCGCAAGACGCCGTCCTTTCATGGGTCCCTTTAATCTTGAGAACAGGAAGAAATATCAGAAGGGCAAATCTGGTGAATATGGTGGCTGAGGCATGATTACAGTGTTGTTTTTGGCCAAAACGTTCTCTTCGTATTGCTTCTCGCAAGTGGCGCATAACCTCAAGATAATACTCCTTAGACCGTACGACCGTGTGGCAAGAACTCCTGATGCATTGCACCACGCTCTTGGATATCCTGGGATCTTTCATTGGGACGATTTGGCTTTGATGTAATAACTATACATCCATTATTCGTCACCAGCAAATCTGGATCGCTGCTCATGCAACGGTTTTTTTTGTCAAAATTCAAATATTTTGGAACAAACTTCGCTGCCACACGCTTCTTACCTTTCACCGACTTCCTCAGCAACTTCTCTCTTGAATTGTTGATTCGACGATTCTCCATAAAAATTTTCTTTATTTTTTCAACATTTTCATCGGTTGTTGATATGCTGTGGCGTCCAGAGCGATCGTCGTCATTCACATCTCCTTGACTTTCTGTGAAAAATTTGTACCACTTGTAAACATTTTTGACTCAGAGAACTATCACCGTATGCCTCTGTCAACACTTAACGCGTTTTGAGCACTTGATTGCATTTTTTACACAGAACTTAATGCAAATTCTTTGATCCATTTTTTTCCATAGTAGAAAATCGCCAAACTCGCGAAATACTTGTAACTTTTGTACCTCTCACCAACAAACTAAATATGCTAAACAGGTGAAACAGTGTACCAACATAAAAAATAAAGAAATCGCTGATTGAATGTACATAGCCCACAAAATGTGAACATTTACCTTATTTTTGAACAGTCTGAATCACGATAGAACTTATTTAGCTCCAGCTAAAGGAATCAAAAATTCAGGTGTGATTTTGGACGAAGGGCTTAGGCTGGAATGGTACCTCACAATGTTAGTGAAGTAAATTCGCTCTTGTTTTCTCAAGTTCAGATTTATGGAAAATATTTTCAACAGTAAACAAGTGATCATAATGTATTATTTATTCTTTTGTAGAATCCTACGTTATTGTGTTTTGGCTTGAGGAGGAGCATACAATTTGGCATAAACAAACTGGAGATAATATAAAATGAGTTTTAAAAATCATTCATAATGTAAAAAAAAATACTTCAATAGACGAGTTATATAAACTAGCAAAAGTTATGGATACATGTCAAATATATTTCATAACAATAGTACTTAATGAGAAAAAATAATAAACTCAACATGAACCGTATATACCCAACAAGACTTATAAGAGGACAAAAGTTAATCCAACCAAAATAAAAAAAGACACCCAAAGATGTTTTGCTTTCCTTGGACCGCATGCATATAATAACTCCAGCTGAAATAAAACAATTAAATTCAATAAAATGTTCAAAAGTAAAATGAAGGGATGGCTTTTGAAACACAATAGATATCTTGCTCACCAAATCATAGACATGAACAACTCACATACTCGTCATTTAAATTAACTTTTTGTATCAAAACAATCATTGTAGGATACATTTTATTTCACTTATAATTTTTTAATTAACACGCTTTTATTAGCTTCACCTGTACGTATGTATGTATGTTTGTTTGTAACTCGGGATATGTATTTGACATAATTATCGACATTATTGCTTGATCTATTCGCGAACCTCCTTGATATAATTCAAACTCGCATGTAATACATGTATTTCTTCATTTGAAAAAAGTATTCGGTAGCCAGTCGGTTCGACGTGGGTGCTTTGTTCAATCACTCAAATTGACCGCCGTGTTGGTCGGTGGTTCAAGCCCTAGGCTGAACGATCGATTTTCACTTGCTATCGTCCAACCCGTGTTAGGAATCACACGTTAAAAGGTAAGACCTCGTTGAATCTTTGCTCGCACAAGTTTCAATTTCTGAGGGTTGTCCTTCGTAGGGATGCGGCAGCTGATTAGCCGAAAAACTGATTTTTAAACAGATTTTTTTTAACACGCTTTTATTAGCTTCATCTGTATGTATGTATGTATGTATGTAAGTTTGTTTGTAACTCTCAAGCTCGGGATCTGTTTTGACAACAATTCAACTTGAGTTATTTAGTATATGCTATATACATCACTATAAAAAGTGATAAATTATCCAAATGTCGCCAATGAATGTATGAAATTTATTCATTAACCCTTGTTTTTGTCATATTTTAGAATAAAATGGATGAAAATGAGTCTGACACGAAGAAACCTGGCTTAATTTATAATGAAGGAGATACTGACTTGATAAATGCTGGATTTCATAATTTTTTTTTATTAATGAAGGCCACAATTCAGAATGTGTTGGTGATTTATTTGGTGTGAATTGACAGTTATACTGCAACTAGCGAACCGCCCCGACTCCGCACGGGTGCAATGCTGATAATATAATAATAATATTAAAGTTCATTTGGATAAAATTCAACATTATATTTTATAAACTATGTAAAAAAATTAACAAGGAGAGAAACCGCAAAGCCATTGGCTGTCCGCGGTGAGGGTGGTTTATTAATAACTATTTATTCCTTAAGTATTTCAAATTTAAGTTATGTAATACAATGTAGGTTGCAATTTTTTAACATAGATGAAATTGATACAGTAAAATTTGTAAAACAAGATAAAAGTTATAACAATAGAATATATAATTCATTACAATACTAAAAGTTTATTATAGATCATTTAAAAAAAAAGTACGACAGAATTAGTAATAATAATGTTTATTTACCAAGTGCATGGATATGGTGAAGTGTACAAAGTATAACCTACAGTAGACAAACATGAATCCCACATAAACTCGAGGTTGTACATGGGAATCCGGCAAGTACACATGTATCATGGCCATAAAATGCAATTTCCATGTCAGTTGGCAATCAAATAATTATTCCTTGTACATATGTATACAAATATGTATATGTATATACCCACCGGAAATTCAAGAGTATGGGCTGACAGTGATAAAAATATAGTGTTGTTTTATGGACGCGCCTTTTTCCTCCGCGGCTGGTGCCCCATTTGCAGTATTTAAATATCCTTTCTTATTGCACATCTACAATATAAAACGAACCCACATACAAAATTTCAGTCTTCCAAAATATAGCGGTACGGAGAAAACAGTGATGAAAAGCTAAGTTTCATATGTGAACGCGCTCCTTTTACCCCCACGGGGGGGGCGCCTCAGTTGGAATATTTGAAAATCCCTTTTTAGTGCGCATATTAGATCTAAGAAACACCTATATACCAAATTTTAGCTTCCTAGGACTTACCAGTACGGAGAAATCGAGTTAAATGATTGACTTTCCCATTTATAAGTAGGGGAAACCGGGGTTGGAAGTCATATTTTTTGTCTTTTGCATTTTTAGTGTCCTTTTTTTTAATTATCTAAAAGAACAATTCGATCAGGCCAGTCTCAAATTACTTACACTGCAGGTTAATGGACTGACACCTATCAGAAAACAACCACTCCCCTTGCTAATACCATGAAGTCGAAGATTTCCGATAATTGAAAATTTTCAAGGTAGTGTCTATCATCGACTTTATGTTGATGCACTGACCTTGCACTGACGAGTGCCCAAACAGTCCGAAACCGGCCAATAATTGAAAATCGATTCCTGCAGTTGTATCGCCTACAGCATATGCAGGAATAACTTCAGTGAAGAATCTTGCACTGACACCTGTCGGATATAATCCAACGCCCTTCGTTGCATTAGTCAGGGAG